GCAGATTATGATCTGAATGGTGATGGATTGGGAAAGGGGGAGGTGCAGTGAGACCTGGGTGTCCTTATACACCAGTCGCTGAAAGTAGGCATGCAGGTACAGCAGGGAGTGAAGAAGGTAAATGGGATGTTGGCCTCCATTATGGGAGGAATTGAGTACAGGAGCAGGGATGTCTTGCTGCAATTATATAGGGCCTCAGTGAGGCCACACCTGGAGTATTGTGTACAGTTTTGATCTCCTCATGTGAGGAAAGGTGTTCTGGTGATGGAGGGAGTGCAGCAAAGGTTTACTAGACTGATTCCTGGGATGGCAGGACTGACATATGGAGAGAGACTGAATTGGATTGGATAATATTTACTGGAGTTTAGAAGAATGAGGGGGGATCTCATAGAAAGCTGTAAAATTGGAACAGGATTAAACAGAATATATACAGGAAAAATGTTCTTGTGACTGAGCATTCCAGAACCAGGGGGCAGACTCTAAGGGTTGAACTTTTCAGACTGAGATCAGGAGAAATGTCTTCACCCAGAGAGTGGGGAGCCTGTGGACTGCTCTGACACAGGAAACTGTTCAGGCCAAAACATTGAAGACTTTCATGGAAGATGCAACTTAAGTTCTTAAAGGAATCAAAGGGTTTGGGGAAAAAGTGGGAACAGAGGACTGAGTGGGATGATCAGCTGTGATCATATTGAATGGTGGAGCAGTCTTGAAGGGCTGAATGGCCTGCTCCTATTTTCTATGTTTCCATCATGGTGATGCTGCAACTCTAGACACGGTGATATTTCTTAGACAAGTTGTTTCCATTTTGAACAATTGGTAGCAAACTCCTCCTGGTCACCGATATTCGAAGGAAAACTTCAGTGTGCCTTTGTCCTGAAGAGATGAGAGAACAGGAGCTACTCAGACACGTTGGTTTTGTGAGAGAGGTGGCTGCTGAGGTACTGAAAGACTCTCCCTTCTAACGTGTATGGAAGGTGGGACCATTCAGCTGATCATGTGTTTGTTGATATATGAGGCTTGTTTTTGGCAACATTCAATAGTCCATGTTTCTAACCTGTAGAGAAAAAGAATGACTTTCAAATCTGGCGCAGAGTGAGTAATGACAGTGTTGTTACCCACACACTGGGGATGGTGTGTGTCTGTACTGGTCAGTTACATTTAGGCACAGAGGCAAGCCAGGTTACAGAGCTTTCAATCAAGGCAATAATAAAATCCAAAAAAGTGCAATCACATTGCTGAGAGTGTATTATAGGTCCCATGACTGTCCAAGAGAAACAGTAGGTAAATCTTGGGGAAGTGTAAAAGTAATAGGGTAATGATAGCAGGGATTCCATCTTCCCTAACATGAACTGGAGTAGTCATTGTGAAGACAGTATGTAAAGGCCCAACAAGACTGGGGTTGATCCTGACTGAATTTAGGAAATGAGGGCGAAAAAGTTTGCAGTGGGGGAGCAATTTGTAGTCAACAATCATAACTCCATTAGATTGAAGATTGTTATGGATAAGGACAAGGCTGGGCCTGAAATCAAAGATCTCAACTGGTGAAAGGCTGGTTTTAATAAGATCAGGTATGATTTGGCCAGCGTGGAGTGGGAGTAGGTATTTTTAGGTTAATCGGTGTCACAGCAGTGGGATCCATTCAAGAAGGAAATAGAGAGAGTACAGGGCCAACATGTTCCAATAAAGACAAGGTGGGACCACCAATCCTGCAAACCCTGGATGTTAAGGGATATACAGAACTGGAGAAAGAGAAAAAGGGAGACATGTGGCAGATACCGAGGGCTCCAAACAGCAGAAGCCCTACAGGAGATAGGATGTGCAAGGTCAGAGCAGAAAGGGGCCGTGACAGAATAATGGCAGGTAAAATAAAGGAAAACCCTCAGTTATTTTCCAAGTACGTTAAGGATAAAAGAGTAATGAGGAAAAAGAGTAGGACCATTAAGAACCACATGGTTATTTTGTGCATGGAGCCAAAGGATGTAGGTAGGGGTCTAGATGATTACTTTGTGTTGGTGTGCACTAGTGAGAGGGACGATGTGGGTCTAGGAATCAGGGAGAAGGACTGTAAAATACAGAAAGAAATCAGAGTAGAGAGGAGGCTCGGATTGATCTGGCAGGCTTCAACGTTGTTAAATCTCCAGAGCTGGATGAAATGTAGCCCATGCTGTAGAGTGAGGCAAAGCGGGGGAATGGCAGGGACACAGCCAATAATTTCCACTTCCTCTCTGGCCACTGAGTGGTCCCAGAGGACTACAGGACAGCCATTATCGTCATCACCCCACTGGGTGGCATGGTGGCTCAGTGGTTAGCACTGCTGCCTCACAGCACCAGGGACCCAGGTTCAATCCCACCCTCAGGTGACTGTCTGTGTGGAGTTTGCACATTCTCCCCATAGCTGCGTGGGTTTCCTCTGGGTGCTCCAGTTTCCTCCCACAGTCCAAAGATGTGCAGGGTAGGGTGGATTGGCCATGCTAAATTGCCCGTAGTGTCCAGGGATGCGTGGGCTTGCCAAAGGGAAATGCAGGGTTACAGGTAGGGGGCTGGGATGCTCTTCAGAGGGACGGTGTGGACTCGATGGACTGAATGGCCTACTTCCACACGGTAGGGATTCAATGATTGTGGTACAGCCAATGTGAAGGGATAAACCAGGAAACTATCGGCCAGTCAGTTTAACCACAGTTTTGGGGAAACGATTGGAAGCAATTCTGAGGGACAGGATTAATTTGCACTCGGAAAGGCACAGGGATTAATCAAGAATAGCCAGCATGGTTTTTGGTCATCTGTGACCAACTCGATTGAGTTTTTTGAAGGGACGACTAGGCGTATGGAGGAGGACAATGCTTCTGAAGTAGTCTGCTTGGACTTCAGCAATGCTTTTGATAAGGACCTGCATGGGAGACCAACAACACTAGTAAGAGGCCATGGGATCCAAGGAAATTTGACAAATTGGATCCGGAATTGGCCGAGTGTCAGGAAGCAGAGGGCGATGGCTTAGGGGTGTTTATGTGGCTGGAAGCCTGTGTCCAATGGGTTCCCACAGGGGGTCAGTACTGTTTGTGGTTTATGGAAATAATTTGGACTTGAATGTAAAGGGCTGATCAGTACGTTCATGGCTTGTGCAAAAACTGGCCGGGTGTTAAATAGTGAGGAGGATCCCGTTAGATTACAGGAGGATAGAGACAGGCTGGACAGATGGGCTGATCAGTGACACATAGAATTCTGTCTAGCTAAAGGTGAGGTGATTCACTAGGGAAGGACAAACAAGGCCTGGGAATAAGTGGTGAGCAGTAGGACCCTGGGAATCCCTGAGGATCAGAGGGACCTCGGTGTGTATGGACACCAGTCCCTTTAGGTAGTGGGACGGGTGGATAAAGTGGTTTAGAAGGCAGATGGGACACTTGTCTTTACGAGCTGAGGCATAGAGTTTAAGAGCAGGGAACGTTATACTGAATCTGTATAAAACATTGGTTAGGTCACAGCGAGAGTATTGTGTGCAGTTCTGGAATCCACATTATAGGAGGGATGTGATAGCACCAGAGAGGGTGCAGGGGAAGATTTACCAGGATGTTGCTTGGGTCGGAGAGTTTCAGTTATGGAGAGAGATGGGACAGACTGGGGGTGTTTTCCTTAGAGCAGAGGAGACTGAGGTGGGGGAGGGGGCATGATAGAGATGTATAAAATTATGAGGAGCATAGGTGGGTTGGTAGGACTTTGTGATGGAGGGATTGAGAGATCAAAGACCAGAGTAAGGGCAGGAGGTTTCAAGGAGATGTAAGGAAAGAGTTTTTCCCCCAGAGAGTGGTAGGAATCTAGAACTCACTGCCTGTGAGGGTGGGAGAGACAGAAACCCTCATCACACTGAATGCAAGGCTATGGGCCAAGTGCTGGGAAATGGGATTGGAATAGTTAGGTGGCTGTTTCTGACAGGCACAGAGATGATGGGCTGAACCGCCTGATTTCTGTGCTGTAGACCTCTATGGCTCTAATCGATAGAGCTTAGCAATTCCACAACCAACAGCTCAGTTCAAAGTTCTGTAGCCTTGCCACCTCCAGTTGTAAATAGTTGTACACAATAAAACAAGAAGGATGTTCCTCAAGCATCCCCACAGACAATGATGAGGGAGCCAACACATCTTTACAAAGAACAGAGCAAAAGCTTTTACAATAATCTTCAATCACAGGTTCCAGCAAGGGAGGGAATTCCAGGATTTTGATGGTAAAGGAACGACGATACATTTCCAAATCAGAAAGCTTGAAGGGGAACTTGCAGGGGCTGGTGTTCCCTGGTTTTTTTACATAAATTAACTTCAAGATTTTAAAATGCATGTAAACAAAATAGGCATCCAGACTTCTTGGTATCAGAGCCCCAAGGTCACAAATGACACACTAAAAACGACTGACTATGGCTGTCCCTTCTCAACACACAAAAAATCAACTGAAGTTAAAGTTATACATTGTTTGTAGCACAATTGCCAAATGGATGATCCATCTCGGCCTCCTCCAGTGGTCCCCAGCATCACAGATACCAGTCTTCAGCCAATTTGATTCACTCCACGTGATATTAAGAAACAGTTGGAGACACTGGATACTGCAAAGGCTACGGGCCCTGACAACATTCTGGCAATAGTACTGAAGACTTGTGCTCCAGAACATGCCGCTCCCCTGGCCAAGCTGTTCCAGTACAGTTACAACACTGGCATATACCCAACAATGTGGAAAATTATCCAGGTATCTCCTGTACACAAAAAGCAGGACAAATCCAACCCAGCCAATTCCCGCCCTATCAGTCTCCTTTCGATCATCAGTAAAGTGATGGAAGGTGTCACTAACAGTGCTATCAAGCAGCACCTGCTCAGCAATAACCTGCTCAGTGACGCCCAGTTTGGGTCCCGCCAGGGCCACTCAGCTCCTGACCTCATTACAGCCTTGGTTCAAACATGGACAAAAGAGCTGAATTCTAGAGGTGAGGTGAGAGTGACAGCCCTTGACATCCAGGCTGCATTCGACCGAGTGTGGCATCAAGGAGCCCGGGCAAAACTGGAATCATTGGGTATCAGGGGGCAAACTCTCTGGTGGTTGGAGTCATACCTGACACATAGGAAGATGGTCGTGGTTGTTGGAGGTCAATCATCTCAGCTCCAGGACATTGCTAATAGGAGTCAATCAATGTGATGGTCCTAGGCCAAAGCATCTTCAGCTGCTTTACCAGTGACCTTCCCTCCTTCTTAAGGACAGAGTGGGGATGTTCACTGACAACTACAGAGTTCTGTTCTATTTGCACCTCCTCAGATACTCAAACGCAACAAGAACCTTTGGTAAGAAGTAGCAATCACATTACACAAATGCCAGAAAACAACCATCTCCAGCAAGAGAGAATATTAATGTTCTCCACCCAAAACAGTACCGCTTTGTCTGTACCAATACAGCGATAGTACAATGCTCCCTAAGCAGTGCACTGGATTGGCAGTATAGCTCACACGGTCCTGTCTGTGGTGTGGGTCTTGGATCTGCAGTGCACAGACTCAGAATTAAGAATACCATGTCAGACTAATGTCTCTTGTACATGAAAGCTAAAACACAGGTTTACTGTGTCAGTTATAAAGTTGAAGACTTCCCCGAGAACAACAAAGTGTTAGGACTGACTGGGGCCTGTGTGTGAGAACCCAAACCCCATTGGACCCAGAGCCATTACCGAACGGGAAAAACTTTCATCAGATCACCCAAAGTTCGATATTTCCCTGACTGATGATCCCAGGTTAAAAGAAAGCACACGTCAGATTTCTGAGCTTAACAGGGAGGCAGTTATTTATTGCAAACTGATTGTTTTTAATCGATCACAAAACAAACACAAGTTACTAACTCATAACTCTCTTTCAGTGACTCCATTCCTTTTAGAAAAGGTCCCTTTCGCATGGAGACACCCAAAAAGACAAGTCAGACCTAAGTGTAATGAGTGGGGAAGGAACAAAACACCTGAAGTTAGTGAAAGACAGTTCTGGACCCAGTCCAGATTACAGGGTGCGGCTCCCTTCCAGGTCCTTTCCATTCTCTGAGCAGGAGCTGAGGTGGTGATCACATTCTGTTTCTCAACATTTTATTCACAGGTTGAGGATTTGCCTCTGGAGGTGGTATTTCCCTCTTTCATTTGAAAAAGGGAATTTAGAGAGAGAGAGAGTGTGAGAAGAGAGAGAATATCTAGCTGCTCAGAATGTTCTTTTAGTTTTTCTCTCACAGGACGGGGTGTGACGAGAGGCTGGGGATTCCCGCAGATTGTCCAAACACAAAGCTGGAGCTGCTCCATCAGGAGTCAGCTCAGACATTGTTACTTTGCTGAGTGCTCCTGAAACTGGACCCAGCTGAAAAATCTGGGCACAAATTTCCTGTACACACACCCACACTGCCAAAGTAACCAACATCCTTCCCTACAGCCTGAATAACGCCACCTTGTAAATACAACATACAATTCATTTTCCTCAAAAACTTACTGCAACACCATCTTCCTCAGTCCCTGGTTTAGAGCAGAACCCTTTCCCACTTTTAAGTCCACGGTCCAAAAAAGTGAAAGTGGTCTTTCCAAAGGGGAGCAGAAACATGAGAACACCTGCAAGATCCCCTCTGAGTCATTTTGACTTAGAAACGTATCACTATTCCTTTAAGGTTACTGGCTCAAAACCCCAGAATTGTCTCTATAGCAGCATTTTGGGTGAATCTACACCACATGGTCTGCAATGGTTCAAAAAGGAGCCTTACCACCACCTTCTCCAGGATAATTAGGGATTGACAGTAAACATTGGTCTGGAGAGAGCCAACTGCAACCTGTGAATAAATAAAACATTTCAGAATCAACTCTGAAACAGAAAATCTAAATTTACATACGAAGAGTATGATAAATTCAACAAGGTATGACTGAACTTGCTAATGAAGCAGTAATTTGAGTAAGATAAGTTTAAGAGGCTGCATTTTGGTAGGAGATGATGTAATCCTTTAAGAAGAATTTAAATGGGGTACAGGAATACAGAGATTGGGTACAGATAAACCAGTCATGAAAAGTAGAAATGCAGGTTTTAGAAAAATAAGTTAATTTCTACACAAACAGAATTGAAAAACAGGGAAGTATGTTTTACCAAAACCTTAGTTGGATTCTATTTGAAGTATTGTGTGCAGTTCTGATCACCATAAAGATGCTAGCATTTTTTTTTACTGGAATAATATCAGAATTAGAGGTTACACCTGATAAGGAAGACTGAAAAGGCTGGGTCTCTTCCCTCTAGAATAAAAGACAGGATGAAGGCTGATAGAGCCAGATAGAGCTCTTCAAAATTAGAGAAAAGTTTAAGCTAGTATCTGTGTAGAACATGTTTCCATTTATCAGGGAGACCAAACCTCAGAACTCACAATCTGCAGTTAGCTCAAGCGATGTGAGTATAGGCTCGTGTGCAGTATGAACAACATGGAGCTCCTCCTGTGTTGTTAAATCCAATTGATTCTCCTGGTCTGTAAATAGGAGCAATGCTGTGCCAAATCTCAGACTGGAAACCTTGGAAAGGGTTTCCCTCTCGTGGTGGGGCCTGGGATTAGATTGTGTGTAGCAATACTCAAGATGGCCCCACATTCTCCAGGATCTCACCTCTAAATGCAGACTTACCCATCCAAATACTCCAGGTCCTCTCTGTTCACAGCAATTCTCATAATTCCAAATTCCAAACAGTACAATACAAACCCACCCAACCTCTCCAAAAAAAGGATCAGCTTAATGAACCTCCTCTGGGCTGCCTCCAATGCCAGTATATCTTTCCTAAACTGTTCACAGTATTCCAGATGTAGTCTGGTATAAGATGAGCAAGGCTTCCCCATTTTTATTCTCCATTCCCTATGAAAGGAAGGCCAGCAGTCCATTTGCCATCCATATTACCTGCTGAAAATGTATGCTACGTTTTTGTGATTTATGCTTGAGGACTCACAAATGCCTCTGCGCTGCACCCAGAGGGTGGTGGGAATGTGCAACTCACTGTCTGTCAAGGTGGGAGAGGAAGAACCCCTCAGAACATTGAAGAAGGATTTAGGTGTGTATTTGTGATGCCAAGGCTATGAGCCAAGGGCTGGGAAATGGGATTAAAATAGTTAGGTGGTTGTTTTTGACTGGTGCAGATGCTGCTTTCTGTAGTTTTTCTCCAATTAAATAATATTCCACTCTACTATTCTTAAAGCTAAAGTAACCTCACACAATCCCACATTATATTCCATCTGCCAAGTTTTCACTCCCTCACTGAACCTGTCTGTATTCCTCTGCAGACTTTTTGTGTTATCCTCACCTTCCCACCCAGACCCAAGAATCCCTACAGTGTGGAAACAGGCCCTTCGGCCCAACAAGTCCACACTGACCCGCACAGCATCCCACCCAGACCCATCCCCCTGTAACTCATCTAATCTACACATCCCTGGGCACTATAGCACGGCCAATACACCCTAATCTGCACATCCCTGGGCACTATGGGACAATTTTTCATGGCCAACCCACCCTAACCTGCACATCCTTGGACTGTGGGAGGAAACTGGAGCACCCGGAGGAAACCCACACAGACACGGGGAGAATGTGCAAACTCCACACAGACAGTCGCCCAAGGGTGGAATTGAATCCAGGTCCCCGGTGCTGTGAGGCAGCAGTGCTAACCACTGAGCCACCGTGTCGCCCCCAAGTGGAGAATGCGGGCATGGGGATCTGCAGCACAGAAAATATCTCTTTGGTCCATCAAGTAGCACAGGACAAAACCTAACTCAAATTGAACTGCCTAACTATTCTAATCCAATTTCCCAGGCCAAAGCCTTGGTTTATGTCATCTGCAAACTTGGCAAAGATACATTCATTTCCATCATCCAAGTCATTACAAAACTGTGGCCCCAACACTGGGTCTAGGTGCCATCCTGAAAATGTCCCCTTCATCTAAACTCTGTCTTCTATCAGTTAGCCAATCCCCTAGCCATGCCATTAAACATTCCCCAAAAGTCTGGGCTCTTGTTTCTCAGCCTCATGTGCAGTACGTTATTGAATACCAAAGTATTTTACACAGAAGCAGTAAGGATCTGAAATGCACTGGCCCTGAGGCAGATTCAAACTTGGATTTCAAGGAGATCTGGATAATTATCTGAAGAGCGAAACAGTACAGGACTCCAGAGACAAGGGAGAGGGAGTGCACCAATCTGAGAAGCTCTCTCTTACAGCCAGCTCTTACCCTCCAGGGACTGTACGCTCCACACATGTCCTTATGTCTAAAGTTCTTCCAGGATACCTTCCTTTATTAGCTGACAAACAGATTAGAAACTCCAGCCAGTTTTGTCAGAACTGTAAATAAACAGGAATTAGGTCACAGCCAGAATATGTGTCACAGAAAGGATGTGATTCAGAGAGAGAGATCTGCAAAAATGTCATTGTTAATTTAACCAGCCAAAGCTAAATACATTGAAGAACAGAGCAATGGTGAGGTGTTTGCTTGAGCTTATACAAACATATCTCCACCCAAAATCACATTTTAATTGAAACATAAATTCAAAATTTTAAGTTAAATAAAGTTTCCATTAAATTTTGATTTTTATTATAGTGCCCCTTTAAGGGCTTGTCACAGAATCATTACAGTACAGAAGGAGGCCATTGACCCATCTCTTTATTATGGTTCTATCCCCCAGTGCCAATCTGCTGCCTTTTCCCAGTATCGTTGCACACCATTTCTATCCAAATAACTACCCAATACCTCTCTGAATGCCTCCATTGTACCTGCCTCCACCACATTTCCAGGCAGTGCATTCCAGACGCTAACTGCTCACTGAGTGAACAAGTTTCTCACATCACCCTTACTTTGTTTAAACACTTTAAATCTATTCCCTTTTGTTTGTGTTTTTACGAGCAGGAACATGCTCTCCCTATCTACTCTATCCATCCTGCTCAGAAGTTTTGAAAACTGAGGGCAAGTGTACATTCAAGTCCCACATACACTGTGTCATATCGTGTCCAAACAAGTTGATTTAAGATATATAAATAAACACTGACACATCCTGGGGACCATCACTTAGAAAAGCACATAACAATCAAAACCATTCAACATGGTTTTGTTAAGAGGACTTCATCACCTGTGAGCTCCCCTCCAAACCACTCTCCATCCTGACTTGGGAATATATCGCTGTTCCTTCACTGTCACTGGGTCAGAATCCTGGAACTCTCTGATGACACCATGGGTCTCTCTACATGCTAAGGACTGCAGTGGTTCAAGAAGGCAGTTTCCTCACTACCTTCTCCAGGGTAATTAGAGATGGGTTGGAAATGCTACCTAACCAGCGACACCCACATCCCCTGAGCAAATTGAGAAATAGGGAAGATTGTGTACGAATGTTTTTTGAAGAAGTGACAAGAAAGATTGACATGGGCAGTGCAGTTGACATGGTCTACGTGGATTTTAGCAATCGTTCTGTAAAGGTTCCACATTGCATACTGATTTTTAAAAAGAGCCCATGGGATCCAGGAGAATGTGACGAATCTGGATACAAAATTAGCTCGGGGCAATAACTGACAGGTGGTTTTGTGACTTTGTGAAAGCTGATTCATTGGATTCAGTATAGGTCACTTGCTTTTCATGCTTTATATTAGCAATTTGAACATAAATGTAAGGTCATGATGAACATGCTTACTGACCACCACAAGAACTGTCCATATGTGGTTGACAGTGACAAAGAAAGCTGCAAACTGCAGAAATGGCTAGACAAGTGGCACATAGAATCTGGTCCAGAGAAAGGTTAATGCATTTAGGGAGACCCAATGTGAAGGAATACTCAATCACTGAGGAGATGGAGGGGAGGGGGGATTCTAATATCACTGGAAGAAGAAATCCAGGCCAATATTCTCAGGACACGGGTTCAACTACCTTCCTGGCAGGATGCAATAACATGTGGAAAAGCTAATCTAACAATGAGTATGTAACCATTGTCAACTGTTGGAAAAACCCATCTGGTTCATTAATGTCATTTAGGTAAGAGAATCTACTGTCCTTACCCGGCCTGACCTACATGTGACTCCAGACCCACAGCAATGTGGGTGACTCTGAACGGCCCTCTCACCTAGAAAGCCAATCAATTCACACAAATCTCGGAATAGGCAACAAACAGTACCTGGACTTCAGGGGCTAAGTTATGAGGAGAGATTAGACAAATTAGGCCTGTTTTCTCTAGAGTTTAGAAAGTTAAGGGGTGATCTGATCAATATCTTCAGCATATTAACAGGAAAAGACAGGGTAGATAAAGATAAACTGTTTCTACTAGCTCGGGATTCCAGAACTAAGGGCATGGTCTGAGAGTTAGGGTCAGACTGTTCAGGAGAGATGTTGGGAAGCACTTCCACATACAAAGGGGTGCGAGGGGTTTGGAACTCTCTCTTCCACAAACCACAGTGGATGCTGGATCAGTTGTTAATCTTAAACCTGAGACAGATACTTTAGTGAAGCAAAGGGATTAAGGCATATGGGCCAAAGACAGATATATACAGTAAGGCCACAGGTCAGCCATGATTTCATTGAATGGAGGAACAGCCTCAAGGGGCTGAGTAACCTGCTCCTGTTCCTACAATGTAAACCTTGCACATCTCAACGTAGAATTTTGAAGGTGGGAAACCACTAAGAGCTGTAGAGTTAGTGAGAACGCTTCAAGCAGATGCCCGAAGGTAGCAGAGGAAGTTATAGAGCATACAGAGCCCTTTCCTTTATGAGCCCTGGTACAGACTGTGGGAGTGGGGAAGTTGTGCTGGAACTGTTTGAATTGTGAGTTAGGCCCAACTTGATGACAGTGTGCAGCAGGATGATTGATTATTTGTAAAACTGATACTGTGTTTTGATTTCCATTGATGCTACCATTGAACAAGTCAGGTCCCAGACTGAAACCCAGTTTGAAAGATCATATTTTATTTTGCTTGTGTTTTATCAAGGTGTCTCTCACTGAAACATAAGCTAGCATTGTTTTAACAATAAATCTTTACTTTATTAACGAAACAAATGAAGATGAAATAGAATAAACCAGACTATCTATTTATAACACAAATTCAAAACATTTTTAAACAACAATAAAAACATAATCCCATTAATCCCAGAACATTTCTTTGAAAATTAAAAAAGCAACAATTTTTGTATAGTACCCAAACACACTCCTGGAACAGAACCTAAAACTTATATAGTACCCAAAGACACCACTCTGTACAGTACTCACACCAGAGTCTCTGTCTTTACAGTTTTAATAGGTTTCTGTCACTTCCACCTTCAACTGCAGATAGCTTCTTTCTGGAGCTATTCATGCACGTGAGCTTAAATATACTCAGCTTCAAGTAAACTCTACAGGGGTTTAAACCAACATTAATTCTTTACTCGAAGGAAATCTAGTTTCACTGTAACCTTTCCCTTCTCATGAGCACTGGTCTTCATAATCATCTTCATCAAAGGACTTCACAGGACTGCTTAAAAACACAGTAAGAATAAAAAGGAAGTCTCCGTCTCTTTAAGCTATCAGTGTTTCCCCCAAACCTGAACAATACCAAGTTTCAGAAAAATACTACAAGCCTTGAGGCCTCATTATTGACCCTGCTGTGTCACAAGACAATTGAAGGTAAACAAAAATCCAGTAGTCTTGTACAAGTACCTCCCACAAACTGTTTTAAAGGAAATGTCATGGCTACAGAAATACTTATAAATTCATTATTAACTGCAGGCAAACAGAAAAAAAAACCTACTTCTCTCATTAATCCAGATTCCAGGAAACCAAAGTTGCAACACATGGTATTAAAATATAAACATACATATGTCACATGCATAATATATCTAAATGTCAAGAGTTTCTAGCAGAGAGAATGTGATTGCACTGGAAAGGGTAGAGAGATTTAGGATGTTGCCAGGACTGGAGGATTGTAGTTATGGCCAGGGTGGATTGGGTGTGGTTGCTTTCTGGAGCAGAGGAGACTAACAGGAGATGTGTGACACAGTACGCAGTCTGGATAAAATGGAAATAATTGACATATTTTCCACAGCACAGAAGCCAGTGAGCAGGGAGCATTGATTGAAAGGAATTGGAAATGTTCTGGGATTATGTTTTTACTGTTTGAGGAAGGATATTACACCCAGAGGGTGGGAGGGTTCCAGTGCTCACTGCCAGAAAGGGGATTAGAGACAGAACCCCTAATCATGTACAGAAGGTGCTAGAGTATTCACCTGAAGTCTGTAACCTGCAGATGTACACATGAAACGCTGGAAAGTACGATTATACTGGGTATCATGTTTCTCAGCTGGCACATACACGATGGGCTGAGTGGTATCTTCCCATCCCATAAACATGAACAGTTCTATGACAAGAGATGAGTCCAATCAGTTGATATATAGGTAATGTTTCATTCCAAATAAACCTATCACAAAAACAGGCCAGCTATAGATCTTCCGTCACAGAGGGAGTGCCGCACTGTCGGAGGGTCAGTGCTGAGGGAGCGCCGCACTGTCGGAGGGTCAGTGCTGAGGGAGCGGGCACTGTCGGAGGGTCAGTGCTGAGGGAGTGCCGCACTGTTGGAGGGTCAGTGCTGAGGGAGTGCCGCACTGTCGGAGGGTCAGTGCTGAGGGAGTGCTGCACTGTCGGAGGGTCAGTGCTGAAGGAGTGCCGCACTGTCAGAGTGTCAGTACTGAGGGAACGCTGCACTGTCGGAGGGTCAGCAATCTGAGGAGACTGAAATTATGGCAGAAGTCCTGGTGTGTGAGACACTGTGTACATACTCAAAGTGCTCTTTCTGAGATGAAATACAATTGTCAATTTGTGCAGGTGTGGCTTCACTAGAGTACAGAGTTCACAATTCGTACCCGGAACTGATAGAATTGTAAACCTGTTGGTAATTCATTCATTGTCTCCACTGTGGAGTTAGAAACCAAAAGCACTTGTTCAGCCTGGTATGAGATCCCTTTTGTTCACTGTCTCCTCTGCCCTGCTTTCCCAACATGGGCCACACACTCACTGTACACCAAGTGCTGCAGATGTCCCACCTTCCCTCGGTCCTCTGTCACTCCAAAAGGGGCTTGATTACAATGGATCGCACTGATCCATCCCCCTCATGAGTCCTTGTGGCAACGTTACACTCTCTATCAACACCAGCAGGTACAGATCAACCACTTATTGCAGCTGCCTGTCTGTTAGATTGATGCCTGTAAACAGCTGGCAACATGTGCCAGTGTGACCCCAGTGATGAGATAAAGCATTTCATTCTTTGTAGATGCTGCATTTGGTGCTGTTTCTGACAGGTATGACAAGTGCTGGCACAGTTTCAGCATGTTTTTTGCACA